AAAATAGTAAAATTAGCAAATTTTTTAGTTTTTTTTTTTTAAATTAAAACGTTTGGACAATGTGTGTTTTTATAGGTAAATGATACGCCACTGAACAAGAAGGATGTTTACCTTCCCCCTTGTGCCCGCTTCCTCACTTCCTCTACAGATGTTGCTAACACAACAATCGCCTACAAACTCGTTTTCACGCTCCCTCTATTAGTAATTGCTCGGAGGATTACAAAACGAAAAAGTATGCTATAGCCTTTAACTGAATGAATATATTCTAGGTAGTGAGAACAACGCAAAAAAATGAAATCCACCAATCACCGTTCATATTTTGATCAACCGACTGCTATTATTTCTAAAATTTTAGATAAGTGACAATTCTGTCAAACTGTCAGTATATTTTTTAGTTATTGAGATTAAACATACATTAAAATGGGTTATTCTTGTGTAGAATCAATAAATAATAACATATAATTATAAATAATTTGTTAATTTAAATAAAACTATATGAAGTCAATTTAATTACGAGTATTAAAGCAACAAAAATAAAAGAATAGGTGGTCCTGTGGTTAGCGTTCTTGCCTTCCACGCGGAAGATTCGAGTTCGGTTCTCGGATTCGTTAGTGGGTCGTAGAAAAAAATATACTATACAACTCGAGTGGATTGTCCACATCGCACTCATACGATAGAGCACTCCGCCTGCAGCGTCGTGCTCAAATTTTGTATTCTTGCAATATGGCCATCATATCCACTCTTGTTGCACAAACTACTATTTCTTCTTATTACGGATGACCACCCTTTGGCGGCGGACGCCGCTTGGACTATGAGTCCTAGACCTTCTGGAATTCAAACTTTAAGGAATTTAAACATCATACAAGAAAATTCTACTACGGAAAACAATAATATGCCAAAAAATCTGATCATAATATTTCATATAAAAAATTTTAATGTTCAGAATATGTATGTCACTAAAGATCTGTCAAACTCTATATATTTAATTTGATTGGATGTTTTATGGTTTTTTTTTTGGTTTAAAATGTTTATTGATAATTTAAATTTCTTTCGAATTAAAATATATTTTTTTAATTGTCTATTCAATATAGTTGTGTATTAATCTTCCTAAAATATATTCGAGATCATTTTTTATAAGATATAAATACATTTCAAATTATATTGAAGTTTTTTTTCTTTTGGCAAAAAATGTCAAGTCAAGGAAAATAGAAAAAATGGCTCGAACATTAAACACGTATTTATGGGTAAAAAAATGATCTCATGTATTTACTGTCGACAAATTACTGCTAAATAAAATAATATTTTATTAGAAATATCAAAGAATCTATTCTAAAAATACTTACTATATTATCTGTTCTCGTTATATTATCAAACAATTGTTTGTACATTAGCTAAGAGCTCTAAGTGATCCTAACTAATCATTGAGTTTTATACTGAATATTTTTTTGATCTGTCGAAATAGTAAAATTTTGTGATATTGTTTTCATGGTTTTTCCAAATAAAGTCGTTTTCGCGGAAACTAAAAATTTTATCGATAAAATTTTAAGGACTAGCGGTACCTTTTATTATTTTTTCATCTGTCAAAATAGTCAAATTTGGTGATTTCAGCCAATAAGCGCTCGCGATCCTAACTAATCATTAAGTTTTATACTGATTAAATCGCCTCTTCATTTTTATTTATTTGATAAATTTATGTTTACGTTTTTAACTGACAACATAATCTAACAACTCTTATTAAACTAAAATTCACCTCAAACCTATTTTAATACCCACATTTCAAAATTATTGTTAATTTTACTATGCAAAATTAAAATCGGTAATAAACTTAACTTGATTGAGTTGGTTTAATTAAAATTAAACATATTCTTTTTTTTTGCTTAGGATTTTATGACTACGAACATTCAGTTCATTCGCCTATTTTGCCACTTTTGTCGATTTTGCTCATTTTTTACAATTTACAAGTTCTACAAATATTACCTATTTACATATATTTTTTTTAATTATATATACATATTGTTTTCTTATTTTTTTGTTTTGTCTCTTTATTTTTTTAATGTTCTTTTATTTATTTATTTATTTTTAATGAAGGAAAATGGAAAAGGTAAAGACAAGGACACTTTTACGCCTAACTGTCATTCTAGGCGATTTACACATGTACAGGTAGACCACGGTTTGTGAAGGTGATACAAGAGGTTAGACATTAATGGTTAATAACCTTTTATTATAATATACATTTTTTATTTTATTTACATTTTTATTTATAATTTAATTTTTGTTTACAATTTTAATTTCATATTGTGTATGTGCTCTATTAATGCATTTAAAATATTTAAATTTAAAGATTGTGCTAATAATTGAGTTAAGTTAAATTGGTGACTTATACTAGAAGAGTTTTTTAATTTTTTCACAAAAAATGTTACCTCTGTTTGTATTAGTTGGCAATTTAACATTTTATGTTCGATATTTCCTATTTCTCCACAAGTGCGAAAGGGATGACCATTTAATTTTATTTTGTACAGATGAGATGAAACTAAAGCGTGATTAAACCTCATTCTACAAATGTCTTTACCCCCAATTTGTAAAAATGCCTCATCCTAGAGAAATTCTTCAAGAACAGGAAAAATTTTCACGGATACTTGGAGTAATAGTTGGGACGCATATTAAAGTATCATCTCCAGGAGGAGATGATGCAGAGGTTTTCAGAAATAGAAAAACATATTTTTCATTGAACGTCCAAGTTGTTGGAAATGCTGACATGAAATTTATAGATGTTGTTGCTCGGTAGCCAGGATCAGCTCACGATGCAACAATTTTTGCTAATAGTAGATTAAGAGCAAAGTTTGAAGCAGGGGAATTTCCAAATAGTTTATTGATTGGCGATAGTGGTTATGGCTTAAGAGAGTATTTTATGACTCCCCTTGAAAATCCATTGAAAAGAGGAGAACAAAGATACAAGAGGCATTATTTAGAACTCGTAATATAATTGAACGTGAGCGTGATCTTATTTCACTTTACTACGCCCTAGTTCAATCTATATTAAATTACGGGATAATTGGATGGGGAGGAGCTTACACTACTACTTTGTAACCTTTAGTGGTAATTCAAAAACGTCTGATTAAACTAATATTTAAATTAAATCTACGATTTCCCACTGAAGCACTTTTCACTTACAGTAACCTATTAACTATAAGAAAATTGTATTATAAACAAGCTTTGATTCAACTTGTAAATACAAAGGAAATAAATATTATGTGCCGCCATTATAAGACAAGATTTCATCTAAATAATAAGATTATCTTACCGAAATGTAGAACAACCCTCTCGCAACGCAGTTATTCATACGTCGGATTAAAAGTTTATAATTCACTGCCTCAAGAACTAAAGTCAAAAATTTATTATAAAAACTTTAAAACTATTATTGCGAAATGGATTTTAAATGAAACTATAGATATAATCGGTAGCAATTAAAATAAAAAATAAAAAAAAAATTAAAATAAACTAAGATGAAACAAACTAAAATTCTATAATAAAATTGAATATTCATATACTTACCCTAAAATTATCACTTGCTTTTGAAATGTATTGTTCAGCTAAAGTTGTGGAAATATTTTTTGGGTTATAACATTTTTAATTGTTTTTTTTTCTCTTTTCCTTTCTTTTTGTCATGTAAAATGAAAAGAAAAAAATCATAGATGACGAGGCAAGCTTATTGCTTACCTACCTGACATACAGTGCCTGAGAAGCTGTCAAGTTTATCCTTAGCTTCTCATTTTCTGGATGTCCGGTACTCAGTGTGGCTTCCTCTGTTCATTTATTCATTTTTTTTTTATTATAAAACAATAATTATATGAGCTGTATTGGTATTGTTATTGTTATTATTACCTAAATTGTTTTATAAAGCGATACAAGTATTTAATACTTATCGCTTCGCACCACTTTATTTAATATTTGTTATTTTTATTATCATATTATATTTTTATGGTACTTCTTTTTTAGGAAGAATCATATTTTTTTATTGTATATATAGATATGATTCATATACATATGTAATTTATTATTTAATAAAGTTATATTATTATTATTTTTTATAATTGGAACATGGAAAAGAAGATTTCCAGTTGTAGCTTATGGAATTCGTTTGAAACTTGAAACAGTTATGGCAGTAATTGTAGCAACTACAGTATTGCATAACACTAAAACTATATTTTTTATGTACTTAATAAAACTATTGTTTATTTTCCCGCAACTGTCTTATTTCTACATCTAATTTCAGTGATTGCTTTCGCAGTTCCTGTTCTTTTGTCTCGTTCTCTATATTTTGCTTTCTTCATACTTGCAAATTATTAACCTTTTATCCAGCAAGATATTATATTTCTCAGCAATATGATTAGATGTTAAGGTTCTAATGACAGTTGCTGGCCGACGTCTTCGTAAATTTTGATTATTATTGAGACTTCTGTTGGGAGTTTCATTATTACTATTATCAGAAGTTTTTTGTCCTGTATTTTCAATTTTTACAAAAGGCTTTGTTTGTAAATCTGAAATGTTATAGTTCTTCCAATGTGTCATCCCTTCCTTTGCCTGAAACAACAGCACATTAAATAATAAAGTAGAAATGGGGTGTAAATGATTGTTTTTAATATTATTAAATTTATAAGTAGATATTTTTGTTCTATTTTATTAGAAAAACAAAATGCTCTGATACGTAGTTTTCTTATTGCTTCCACTTGTTGCGGTACAAGACTGACTTTCATCACTCTCTAATTCATATTCCACAGCTACTTCACTGGGGTGATTGTAACTACTCTAAAATATAAAAATAAATACCTATTTTATTAGGAAAACAAAATGCTGATACTTACAGTTGCTGTACAGGAATTTTTATGTTCATCTAACTCAGGATCATCAGTTGTAGGATGATTATGATTAGCCTAAAATATAAAAATAATCTCTGTCAGCATCAAATGGGTTCTCTTATCCATAAACAGTTTTTCTATTCATCAGGGATAAAAGCAGTTCATCCGAGCTTGTGCACGTTTGTTTGGAGGAGGAGGGCCACCTTCTGTTCGCATTAACTCCATTCTTTCATTAGCAGTTCTTTTCCGCATGTCTTTTTTTTTATTTTCGTAAAATTTCCTCAATGACTCCACAGATCTCTTTGTACAACTTGGTATAATAGCATTAAATTCCCTACTGACTTTATCCCAAGCTGCATCCTTGTCGTAAATCATTACAGCGTCAGTTCTTTTATTTTCCAATACATTTTTGTATTTGGCAACAATACTTATTAATAAATCTTTTTCGGTTTGGGTATAATTAGGTCCCCTAATCCGTTTTTGCCTTGAAACATCCATTTAATTAAAATATTTTTTAAATGAACAAAACTCAAACAATCCAAAATCAAACCAAAGCCTCTACAATCTACAAGACAGAATCATCTGTCAGTTGTCAAATATGTCAGAAAGAAAGAAATTCCCTAAATTCTTACAACGTTGCCACATAACTTCCAAGCTTTAGTAAGTTAGGTTTACATCACTACCGTGCAATAAATTTTTTTAAGCGAAACTTAAAAATTTAAACTGCCCTTAGCTAAGCTAACTCCATTGACCTGTCGGTGCAAATGGCCATAAACAAGTTTAAATTAGCTAAATTAAATAGATCTAATTCCATTTCATAGTTTGAGACACGGAAATCACAGTAAAAACATTAAAAAGTAGCAAATGTCAGTCTCGTCAGAAGAAAGTAATCTACTTTAAATATGTCGACGCGCGCATGCCGGCCGCCTGTCTATTCCTTCTCTTACAGTAATACGGTGTTGCCGTATTTATTATTTTTTAGACTAAAAAGGAAATGCTATAAAAAAATATATTTATCAGTTTAATAAACACTTCCAAATATGTTTATTGTTTTATTGTGTCTTTTTTTACAAAATTATTTAAAAAATAATCTTTTCAAATATCTCGCGTCCTTTTAAATTGTATCTATTAAATTTTGAGTTTCCATTCTAAAACGACTTTATTTCAGGCAAAACCACACATGGTTTTTCCAAATAAAGACATTTTCGTGGAAACTAAAAATGTAATCGATAAAATTTGGAGGACTCGTGGTATTATTACCTGTGATAAATTACTACTAAATAAATTAATATTTTAGAAATGCAAATATATCTATTCTAAAAATACTATAGGTGTTATCTATTCTCCTAATATTATCAAACAGTTTTTTGTTGATAAATTTTGGCTTCGTCTGAAAATAAATTATTCCATTTGTACGCGAGTTTTATCATCAACTCGTCAGATCACTGCGAATTTATTGATAACGCAATTTTTTTCGCACGTGTACATCAATTTCAGACAAAAAATATTTAACCAGGATGAAAAACAAACTCGAAATATCTATCTGAAATCTTGTTTTATCTCTGTGTAATGGAAATGTTTGGTTACAGTTTGTCTCAAAATGTTTTAAGGTTAAGATTTTTTTGAACTAGGTAACCTAGTTTACTTAAAGTGTGCAGTAATTATAAGTATTTAATATTAAATGATGGAATTTAATAATGGACTAGCTTTTGAGGTTTGTCGCAGATCGAGTCGCGTGCCTTCGATATTCAAGGAACTTTTACATGGCCAAATCTAGAATTGTTTCAAAAAGATAGTAATATTTTATTTATTAAAAATATGTGTTAGAGCAAAAATACAGTGTTTATTGAGACACTACTTAAATTATTTACAATTGTCCAAGTTTATTTTTGCCTATTAAGCGAATTATTTATTTTTCTTTGATACCCAGGCAGCACGCATTTTACGTATTTTATACGTAATACTCGTTTAATTTTGGTATTGGTTGATTCCGTATACGTTTACAGTTTACTATTATTATATATACCGTATTTTAAATGATATATTATACGTTTTTTATATACATCCTATGGTATATAATTGTAAATTTTTCTACGTTTAAATATAGTTACTATTTTTAGTTTGCGATGAACTATTTATATACAGTGGACCTAAATATACGTTTAGGTATATTTACATTTAAATTAAATTCGTATAAATTTACATAATATTACAATTTGTGTTCTTCGTTTATAATTCCCGTAAAAAAAGGTACTTATAAAAAAATTCTGAGTTTTTCGTTTTTTTCCTCCATGAGGACTTCTTCTTCTTTTTCTTGGTGGTGATCTTGTTGCTGGCGAGTTTCAACTGAACGCTGAATATTGGCGTAAAATTGAAGATCATAATGGTTAGACCAATAAGCCCCAAAGTATTTTTTTTAATAAACAAAAAATTGAAGATTTGTCCCCTTTTAGACTGGTTTCCCCAATCTCAATTACTTTGGCCTCTTCAGAATCCAAACAACAAATGAATAAATTAAAATGTCTACGTGCCCGTGCACTTACTTAATCACGTGACTATTAGCCGCAATACCGTTGGCAGGTTACAATCACGTAGTTTTGCATTTGACAAGTGAAGGCAAATACAGAGTTTTGCATCTAGTCTTCGTTTTCTTAAGCGTTTTTAATGCAGAAATAGGGAGTTTTGCATCTTATTTTGGGAGAAGAATGGTAGAGTTTGAAATAAGGAATTAAATGGCGCCAAAACATTACTTTTGAAAATTTCGTCAAATACCGAGTTTTTCATTTAGGGGACTCAAATGTCCTTCACCAGCGCCCCTGACAGAATTTTATTATCCTCTTATTTGGTCCTTATATGCTTCCGTATGTATTATCTTGTGTTCCAATTTTTTTTCTTCATCTTCAGCCAGTTTTATTAGCTTTATAGATAATACTATAAGTATCAGAGACAAACTGTACATCGATATTAATATTATAAAAGTTCCAATCAACCCGAGAGAGATTGAGAGTCGCATCGGCATAAAAAAAAACCGATACAATCTATTATTTTATCCTTCAATGTGTTTACAATTTGATAGAAACTATCCTTGATGGATTTAAACAAACAAGTCCTATCTCGGGTTTCATGGCAAAAAACGATGCACCAACTAACGCATATTTTCGATCCGCATTGCAAAATATTGTTACATTGTTATCAGTGCAGAATAGTTGACATATATCTCGATTACCTACAGTACATAGCCCAAAAAAGTCGTACCTACTACCTAAGCAGTGAATTTTCACATTCCAGGCGAGTAGATTTTAAAAATTGTTATTTATTGATTTAAAAATTTGAAAAACTAGAATATATTGTGGCTTTTTTTAAAATAATAATAATACGCTGTTTTGATATCTAAAAGTTATCAAAATGTGATGTGTAGACGATTGTATAATAATAGTGGTTCATATTACGGATCCGTGAAAATAATAAATATTACAATATTAACTTACAATAGCTGCATCTCACGATATATCACATCATTTCTACCTTATCTTCTTCTAACTGAGAATCCTGTTGATTTTCAGAATTTTCGTGTTCAAATATCAATGTTTTTAAAATGCAATGCATTTCCTATTTGCCGGGTGCGCGAAGGAAGCGACATCTTGTGACCGCATTAAATCTGGCCCTATCAATGATGAATTACATGTAAAAATTTTATAAATACAAAATAAAAAGAAAATCGCTGTGAAATATAAGTGTAATACGTGATAAATATTAAATAAATAGTAAATATTAAATATCGCGATTAAAAAAAGTAAGTATAAGTAATTTTAATGAGTATAAAATGCATCTTATTTTAAATAAAAGAAGAACATAAGAATAGTATTAGGTTAACTGTCAAAAAAAGGTTAGTTTAAAAATTTAAACTATTAATATGTTTTAATAAATTCTCTGCCAATGAACATCATTATTCAAACAGGATTTGAGGCAATATCTCATGAGATATTGTTTCAACCTAAAACTTTGTACAAAGGAAAACAACTGGCAAGGGCAAATCATGTCAGAGAAGTGAAAGAATTTAGAAATGCGCGGACTTGCCTCCTCTTCTGATTTTTTACCTCCAATAAAATGATCGCTACAAATCATTTGGTTTTGGAATCCACGGTGATCCATCAAGACTATAAAAATATTATTTTAATTATAAGAAAAGGTAAAGTTAGGTTTTGTTGTACATTACTTACTTTTTTGTTTTAACTGCTTCTATTCATTTCGCTCTTTTTTCTAATTTCCAACTGGCAGTTGGAAATGTATAAAATTTGCAACTACTATTTTTGCCTGTATTTTTGCAATTCACAACGCAACAAGTAGAATGCCCCATTTTTCGTATAGAATAAGTACAGTTAACTGTCAAAACGTCAAAAGACCGAGAAAAACAAACCGTATTTTGCTTAGCGATTTTGTCATATTTAGGCTATCGTATGCCGTGAAGATTTATCCCTATTACTTCTGAATGGTTAAAGATTAAAGTATAGGAATTGCTTTGTTGGCAAGAAAAACTATGATTAACAAATTTGTATTCGTTCAAAATTTTCCAAAACTCAATAGTTTTTGATATAATGGCGTAATAATTAAAAATTAAATATAATTCAATTTAAATTTTTGTTAAAACTCAAAAACTATTAACCTTAGGAAAATTAGTTATTCACTATTCGACGGAGAAAACTGTTCTCTACAAATTAGCAGGAACGAAAAATTTTCGTAAATCCAACCGTTCATGAGATATTTAAATTCTTTTATTAATTTATTCACAACAAAATCCAGATTTAATGCCTACTTTGTCCATTGCGTACGCTGCTGTCGATTCGACTGTCCCCACTATATACTTTGCACCTTGCGAATACAGCTTATTTTATTCACAGCAACAAGGGTACTGATTTCACTATATGGATAGCTATGCTTGTCAACTATGAAACCACATATATTTTTTTATATAGCTGTCACTCTTAAATGTCAAATAAATTATTTAAAATTTTTTGACTATGTTATGCAACGATCATGTATTGATAGCCATTACATGAGAGTTGCATACCATATTTTTTCTACGACCAAGAAACTATTTCAATTCAATAATATTGCTTTATTTTTTTATTTTTTAATACTTTTTTATATAAACAATAAGAAATAAAATATGAAAGAAAAATAAATTCTTCAACTTAATTTTTATTCCTACACAATAACCTACACAACTATGATCTTAATTTAACTATTAATAATACACATAAACGAATTCATTTGTAACATTAAACAAGATAAATTATAAATTACATTTTAATCAATGTTGTTTAAATACAAATTTTGAATAGTACAATTATTAAAAAGTACTTGAGGTGTACCAGCATTAGTCACAAACGAATTTGTACTCGTAGATGAAGAGGGCAAATTAATATGAATTTCATTATTTGTATTATCAATAGAATGGAGAATTTGATTTTCAGTTTCATAATGAAAATCAGTGTTAT